CGCTGCTGAAACTGACCAGCGCTGACTACAGGAAGCCCGAGGCAGAGTTGCTCTGCTCTGGGCTTCCTGGAATCAGCTGCTGATCAGTTTCAGCAGCAGCTGACTTGGGGACGCTTGGGGTTCTTAAGTTGATTCTGTATGTAAGTCAGAACTGGCGGTCAGTTTCAGCAGCGGCTGAATCTGGACGCTAGTTCCGACTTACATACAGATTCAACTTAAGAACAAACCTACAGTCCCTATCTTGTACGTAACCCGGGGACTGCCTGTAAACTGAATAGAATGAGTTAATCTAATAGAAAATAATGGTTGGATGCTGTAACATGATGTCAGGGTAAAGGTTCCAAGAGAAAACCAGAGCTTTGTAGCTGAGTCACGCTGATATCAGACCATTTGGGCCTTTTTTTAGTTCTACATCACAACTAGAAGAATTTAAACCCCTTTAAAACAGGAGAAATCAGGGGCAGGAACACCAAAGTTAAGCACGGAAAAATCCTAAGAGTCCAGCTCCGGAGAAGAATAAGATTGAGGGTGTTGGGTTGTTTTGTTTTTTTAATTTTTATTTTATTTTAATTAAAATAATATTAAAAGCAAGCTCCAGGAAAGAATTAAGTCTGGAACCTGTCTCCTGGTTATAACATGTTAAGAGCAAAGTTGAAATGCAGCCTGTTTATAGATACTGTGATGGTTCAAGCATGGGACTGGAAATCATGAGGTTTTAGTTCTTTTTCTCAGCTTTGCCACTAACATGCTTGGTGAATTGGGAAATCACTTAACTTCTTTGTGTCTATTTGCCTTTCTGAAAATTGAGAGTGGAGGACTGATGCATCCTCACAACACCTCGGTAGAATGTATCAAAGTTTGAAAAGCATTTTATGATATTCAGATGAAGAGGACTGTATAAACACACACAAAAATATTTTCTGTGTAACTATGAAAATATACAGTCTCTTTCAAGTGCACAACCCCCACCCCCACAAAGCCTGAAGGGATTAATAATCTGACATTCATTTCAACACAAAATTTGGTGGAACAGTACATTTTATTGAAGTTTTAATGAGGAAGGATTACAGATTGTGCCAAAACAAAACTGGTATTAAGAATAAGTGGGTGGGTGAGATTCTGTGGCCTGCATTGTGCAGGGGGTCAGACTAGATGATCAAAATTGTCCCTTCTGACCTTAAAGTTTAAAGTCTATAAGAGAGCATTTACTGTTTTGTGTAATAATCAATTTGATTGATTACCAGGGAATTTTGTAGCAAACCTCAAAGAAGCACTTGGACATGAAGTAACAAGGATAAATTACCTTGGAGACTGGGGCATGCAATTTGGTATGTTTATTTTCTCATTCACAAATAACATTATCTAGGTTTATAAGTTTCTTGCTGCCTCACTGGATTTGGTTATAGCAACGATTAATAATTGGACAGGCTCATGCCACTAAAGCAAGTTATAGACGATAAGGGGCATCCTCACGGTAAGGTGGTGGGCGGGTTCCTGCGTGGCCTAGGGGATAGGGTGAAGAAGCAGGCTGAGGAGGGTGGGGTCTGGAAGGAAAGGTGCAACAACAAGGGAGAGTACAGGAGGGTACAGGGTCTTGGCAGGAGGGAGTGTGTGTGTGAGGGGAATGAGAGTGCAGCATCTGGGCATGAGGCAAATGGGGAGGCACTTACCTGGCTTCATGCCTCTTGCTGCTCCCAGGCACCACTTCCCGCTGCTCCCATTGCAGGAAAAGCCTCCAGAGTCCGTGTGCTGCTCTTCCCCTAGCCAGGGAAGAGGGAGCAGCAGAGTGCAGAGCCACTTACTTCCCCCAGAAGCTGGATTTAGCAGCAAAGCTCGGGGAGTCCTCTTTTCCCCCCTGTGGGAAGCTGGCACTGGCACTTTAACCTCACGGGGGAGATGGGAACTGGGGCGCCAGCTCTGCAGATGGGTATGGCGGCTGATCTACAGCAAAACTGGTAGGAAATTTTTCTGAGCTACTACTTTTAACTGTCCCTTTTAAAACAGATGTTCTCTTATATTGGCCTGTTCAGTCCAGATCTTTAACAGCTTTTATGAAGGATGTGACAATGGTTCACAAAATTATAGCTCAAGAATTTTATTATAATGGTACTTCCCAGAAGTACCCCTGTAGTTAATGAGCCGTCAGCATTTCCATTATAGCCACCATTTACAAAGAGTTTATAACTTAGCCATCTAAACTGTATCAAACTGAAACGTGGCAGATTTTTAAAATATAAAACTGAATGTAAATGGTATTAGCCCTTTTTATTTCTTTCCAGAATATTCTCTGGCCTCCCTTATTACATACCGCATAGGGCCTCTATTGTGATCTTTGTGCTTCCAACAGGAATGGGACAAGACTCTTCTGAAGCAATTCCTTTATCAGCTGCAAAGATTATTCCAAAGTGGTACGCACACTCCCTCTTTAGGATATATGTACCATCTGCACTGCAGTCCTAGTCTTTGACAGTTCAGTGGGAATATGGATTTAAAATCAACCCCATCTCTCCTGGATGGTTGTGGAGGCATTTGGACAAGTTCTTTTGATTTAGAAATGCAGAAAGAACTTGAATTTCTCAGCCTTTGAGATGATCTTTGGAAGGTTTAAAGCTTTCTAGTTCAAACATGAATTAATTCAGGGAAGTCCTGTGGCCTGTGTTTGTAGAGGAGGCCAGATTAGATGATCACAATTGTTCCTTCTTACTTATAAAATATGAATGTTTGGGCAATTGTCATGCCCAACTAGAGACATTTAAAGAAATAATCAAGTCATGCAACTTTACCGGTTTGATTTCACGCTACGGTCTGTGGTGACTACACACAACTGAGCAAATAGGTGAGAGCCTCAGGTAAGAGAAGGCCCTCGTAGAAGAAGGGTTGCAGCAGTGCAGAATGCCTGCAGGCTATTGGTCTTTCAAGACTGCTATTTTCCTTAAACTTCTGAAGTAACTGGTACTGGCAAGAGAGGGAGCATAACCAGCAACCTTGGAGATAATGCTCCTCATTAAGCATTCTGTGGAGCCCTGGCTGCGATTTAATTCAGGCCTTCCCCAGTGAATAATTGGGGGTGGTGGTAGTGAAAACACTGCTTGCTGCTCCCCAGTGAATGCTCTTTTGGATTCCACAGCTACATGTGCAGCAATATTTGGGCATGCTAATTAGTTCAGTTTCCTTGATTTTATTGGGCTCAGGCAGACTCTTTATGTCATTTTGCTATAGAAGCTGTTACATTTGAATGCTAATGTGTGGTTTGTTTTTTAAATGAACCTACTTGTTTTGCTTTACTCCCCTTACAATATTGTAAGGCCTGGGTTATTATCAACTGGGGCTTGAAAAATCCATTTATTTACTCACAACTTGTGGAAATAAGAAACTTTCCCTGGAGAATGGGGGAAACAAATTATTGAACCTTTGATCAACCTCTGCAGAATGGAAGAATTAATTTTTAAAATACAAATGGTTCACTGATATTCTATGCCTGCTTTGCAGCACTAAATCTGACTGAATTGGTTGATTCAGATGAGTTTGCAGCAGTTTTGTGTCTCTAAAACAGCAGCTGCAGATGAGTATTGACCTTGGTCCTAAGTTTTTACCCTTGTAGCTCCATAGGACACTTTCCAAACATTAAGTGAATGTCCTCTTCATTCTGTAGACAGGTAGCCTCAGTGTTTATTCTGTGGCTCATATTTTTCCTAAGCTACATAGACCTGAAAGCTGACAAGTGTCTAATTTGCTTTCACTGTTATCTTTGGGCACTGAAGAAACTGATAGTAGGGCTACGTCTAGACTGGCATGATTTACCGCGAATGCTTTTAACGGAAAATGTTTCCGTTAAAAGCATTTGCGGAAAAGGACGTCTAGATTGGCATGCACTTTTGGCGGAAAAGCGTCTGTGCCAATCTAGACGCGCTTTTGCACAAAAAAGCCCTGATCGCCATTTTCGCCATCGGGGCTTTTTTTCACAAAACAAATCTGAGCTGTCTACACTGGCCCTTTTGTGCAAAAGCTTTTGCGCAAAAGGACTTTTGCCCGAACAGGAGCAGCATAGTATTTCCGTAAGAAGCACTGATTTCTTACATGAGCTCGTCAGTGTTCTTGCGGAAATTCAAGCGGCCAGTGTAGATAGCTGACAAGTTTTTCTGCAAAAGCAATTGCTTTTGCGGAAAAACTTGCCAGTCTAGACACAGCCTAGGAGAAGTGGACACAGCTGCTATTCCCTGAGAAAGAAGAGCCAAAACAAAAGTAGAGAAGTGGAGATGAGACACTTGGAATGGACCAGAAACTGGCGGAGGAGTAGTCATGGCAGTAAGATTACTTTGGTGTGAGAAATGGGGAAGCACCTTTTTTCCCATCAGACATAAGGGATTGGTGTGTGGGCGTCAGATTTCTGGCAACTTCTAGCTAAATGTTGATGTGAAAGACGGATCCATGAATTAGGGTACATCTACACTACAACACTATTCCGAAATAAGTAGCGCTATTCCGAAATAACATAGTCCGCGTCTACACAGCAGGCAGCTATTTCAAAATAGTGTCAAAACACTGTCAAGCTGGAGGACTTCTTATTCCGACTCCTGTAACTCTCATTGTGCGAGGAATAAGGGAAGTCAGAGGAAGAGGGCTCTATTTCGAAATAAAATATGCAATTGACATAGCTCAATTTGCGTAGCTTATTTCGAGTAAAACCCTGCAGTGTAGATGCACCCTTAGAGTCCAGGAATACAAATTCCAGCAGCTGTGATGTTCAGAGGGATTTCTCAATAGAAGAATCACCCCTATCTTTCATACCAGTCTTTCCTTATTATGGTTTTTCAAGCACTAGAATAATCAATTTCTTGTCTGTTATGGCACACAAAATTATGTTTTAGAAATATTTTGGTGTGTTTTACTTTCATTACTTATAATGCTGCAGATTTGATTGTACAGTGCTTTTAATCCAGATACAATACACACTGGTCTGTTTTTTAATATCCCATTTTATTAATCATTACGTATTCTAGGTTTACTGGGAGCTGGGTTCCAACAGTTTGGCAATGAAAAAGAGCTAAAATCCAATCCTTTACAACACCTTTTTGAAGTAAGTATATTCAAAAGTTATGAAATAATAGTAGCACAATTCTTTCAACATAGTTATTTGTACTTCTATGTATGAAATCATACCTCTTCAAAATGTAAATTCTTAACACTGATTGCTTAATGTATATTATGATCTACTAAGAAAAACAGCATTTATAATTCTAAAATACCTTATTCTTAAGAACTGCCATACTGGGCTATACCAATAGTCTGTCTAGCCCTGTATCCTGTCTATGGCTCATAGCCATTGATGAACATACCCTCCAGGAACCTACCTAATTGATTGTTGAACTCAGTTATATTTCTGGCCATCACAACATCCCATGGCAACAAGTTCCACAGGTTAGTTGTGCATTGTGAAAAAAAGTATTTCCTCTTGTTTGTATTAAACCTGCTAGATATTAACTTCATTGGGTGATCCCAATGTATTGTGTTTGTGTATTTTGGATAAGTAACACTTCTGTATTCACTTTTTGCTCACCATTCATGGTTTCATAGACCTTTGTCATGTTCTCCTTAGTCACCTCTTTTTTAAACTGAACAGTCCCATCTATTGTAGTCTCTTCTTGTATGGAGGCTCCTCCAAACCTTTGATAATTTTTGTTCCCCTTCACTGAATCTTGTACGGTTCTACTCTGTCCTTTTTTGTTTTAAGAAAGAGATCGAAACTAACATTCTCTTAGCCCCTTTTGCCTGCTGCTGTCCACTGAGTTGAAGTTTTCAGAGAACTATTCATGATGACTCCAAGATCTCTTAACCTAGTGGTAACAGTTAATCTAGACCTCATCATTATTTATGTGTAGTTAGCATTAGTGTTTCAAATGTGCATTACTTTGTACTTACCAATTGTGAATTTCATGTGTTATTTTGTTGTCAAGTCACCCAGTTTTGTGAAATCTCCCTTTCACTGTTCAGTCACCTTAGTACTTAACTATTTTGAATAACTGTATATCCTCTGCAAGCTTTGCAACTTTAATGTTGACTCCTTTTTCCAGATCTATTTTCCAGGCTTCCTGCTTCTCATGTATTTAAAACAATTCTTACTGTTAGTATTGTCTTTAGCCAGTTGCTTCTAGCTGGGAGGTGTCTGTGTGTCCCAGGCCAGCACTATTACCTAATGATGAGTGTCCAAGCCCACATTGCCTGGTAGCTACAGTTCACAGCAATGTCACCCAGTGGTGAGATTGGAGGGCTATACTGTCTAGCAGCTATGGTCTGTGGTAGTGCTGCCCCATGGCAAGAATAAAGGGCCACTGTGCCTAGCAGCTTTAATCCTAAGCATGGGGTAGAGGAACTGGCCCCACTTGACAACAAATTCAGACCCAGAGCCCTTCAAAGCAGTAGGTCATATACAAAGCTTAGGGTTTGACTTACCACACCCTGGGTCACTACCTACTACTGTTTCCTTTACCTCAAAAGGTGCCATGGTTCTGTCTTGGGATCCCTCATAGCTTTCTCCCAGGTTTGTCTCTGGAGCCCCTTTCTCTGGCGGTAGCAAGTTGTCATCCTCAACTGCTGCAGTTAGCAGTCTTCCAGCAGTTTGGCTAGGAGGTTGGTCTGAATGGCTTGGAGTCCTAGCAGCTTCTCAGGTAGGGACTGCTGCACCCGACTGCTGTTCTGCCTGAGTCAACCTAGTCCGAGCTGAGGTGCTGCCTTTTGAATGCTCTTGCCAGTGGGAACATGCCAGCAGAGGCAAGGAGGTGTAGGTGCCAGCTTGATCAGCACCCTGCAGCCACAGCTGTTTAGAAGCATCCCAATCAGTGTTCCTTGAAAGCTGAGCACTTGTACAGCTGCTCAGGAGAGATTTCAGTGCCACCCAGTTGGTTAGCGGAGCGCCCGTAGACGTAAGTTTTGTTTCCCTTGGCGGTGCACATTCTTATGCCTTGGTGCACCTAACAATTCTGCACGTGGATGGACAAGATCCACACATTGATGAAAAAGATTATTTGGAACATTGTTCCCAATCACTATTTGGCAGTGTTCCCAATTAGCTGATTGGGAGCGCTGCTAAACAGGTGTTTGGCAGCTATGGGAGGGCTTTAAGAGAGGGTGGAGAGCAACGAGTGGATGGGGCCTCAGGAACAAGGCAGAGCAAGGGTAGGGCATTGGGCTGCAGGGAAGAGTTCTCCCCGATCCACGGCCTCACCCTCAAGATGGGGACAGAAGGAGGTGGAGTGATAGCAGAGCCAAGGGAATTCAGTGAGGATGAGTGGAGCACCCGTGAGGAAAAGAAAAGCTCAGCCCATATGTGAAGGGACATGGCTTCCTGCTTCCAGAGCAGCTCTTTAACTCTCACCTCACTAGTGTGGGGTATTTCACAGTCAGTATGTATTATTGTCAGGTGTTGGTTATTATTTTTCTACTGCCATACTCTTATTATTCAAGTATGAATTTCCTGTTCATAGAGATTCTATGGTGCAGTTTGATTCAAGTAGTAAAATTTTTCCCTTGTTTGGCTCCATGCTTTCTTTAACATATAATGCCACTTCCTCACTGGCCTACTGTGATTTCATGCCTGTGTATCAGCAGTAGGGATGTAAAATCCCATTTAATTGATTAACCAGTTAAACATGTGGTTTAAACAGTTAATCTGTTAAAGAGGGGTGAATGGGAGACAGGGCGGTCCAGCTTGGCTGGGCTTGAGTGCCCCCCCCCCCACCACAGACAGGGGCTCTTCAGCCTGGACAAAGCAGCCCCTGCCTGCAGCATGCTGTGGTGCTCTGTTCCTGGCATCAGGGTGGGGAGGCTTTGCACTTTGCCCCCGCCCCCCAGCAAAATATTTCAGCTGCTATTGTCTTAAAGGGTTTCTGCTTTGAGCAGCTTGGAGTTGCTGGCAGGCAGGGAGTCTGCTTCAGGATCCTGCAGGGCTGCTGATCAGGAGCCACCCAAGTAAGTACCTCCTGGCCACAGCCTGCCTCTGACATACACACACACCAGCTACCTCATCCAGCTCACCACCCAAGCCCTCTGTATCTCCCCTCCCCAGGTCACAACTCTCTCCCATACTCTGCACCCCCACCTACACTCCTCCCACAGGCTAGAATCCTCTCTGGCATCCGTATCCCCTTCCAGAACCTGCACCCCAAGCCTCTGCCCCAAATCACAACCGTCTTCTTCACTCAAACTCCCTTTCAGACGCCACACCCTTTCCTGTTCCCCAGTCCCATGCCCCAAGCTCCCTGCTGCGTCCAAGCCCCATTCCCACACCCACTCCATAGAAAAGTATGGACCTTGACCAAAATGTTGAGTGGCCCTCCCATCAAAAATTATTGCACATCCCTGATCTGAGGCATTTAGCAGAACAATTCCGATCATTATGGAGATGGGCAGGCACAAATTTTGAATTGTAAAAAGTTCTGTAAAGTTAAATATACAAAACGTATGGTGCTCTTCAACAACTCGTGATATGGAGTTGTGTATATCATAGAGAATGTATGATCTAATAAAAGAAACTGAACTATGCTTCCATCTGCACTGGGCTGAAGATGGCAGCTGCTGATAATCTGAACATTTTAGAAGACTAACCCAGACGTTATGTCATGGGATGATGATTTTAAGTAAATCTTTACTGGCTCAGACATAAGTGTGTTTGAGTATTCCAGTGAACTCCACCCAACCGTGTGTTATGTGCACAATAGAAGAATGGTCTTGGCTTCCAGGCCATTCACCTCCTTTGATTTTTAACAATACATGTAGGTTTTCTCTTTCTCTGTGGGTTCCCTCAGTACAATTGATAAACCATGTACTTGGAATTATTTAGGAGTTGAAGGACTAACTTCAAGGTCCAGCAGTTAGAGATAACATGCATGACTGCTACCTTTACTTTGAATTTCTCTCAATCAACATAAATGGTGGCACTTTTTCTTTCTTCTCTTTGCAGTTTTCCAAATAATTTGTTATGTGGTTTCTACTGATACCTTCTTAGATTTACACATTAGGTAATGATGTTACTTGTATACATTTGGGGTTTTAGTATTCAAAATTAGGTTAAAAGTCTGAGAGGAGTAGCTGTGTTAATCTGTAACTTTAAAAAAACAATGAGCAGTCCTAACGCACCATAGAGACTAACATATATATCTCACAAACTTTTGTGGGCAAAACCCACTTCTTCAGATGAGTGGAGAAAAAAGGAAAAAGGTGCTTTAAATTGGGAGGTTTTTCCTTTTTTCTTCACTCATCTGAAGAAGTGGATTTTGCCCATAAAAGCTCATGATACTATGTGTGTGTGTGTATATATATATATATATATATATA